TGTAATGCACGTGAACCATTTTTGGACAGAATTGTCACCCGTGATGAAAAAATGGATTCTCTATGTGAATATTAAACGCTAGAAACAATGGCTCACTCCTAGACAAAAACCACTTCCGACCCCAAAACCTAGACTCCATCCACAGAAAGTTATGCTTTGCATTTGGTGAGACATCAAAGGAGTAATTCATTTCGAACTCCTCAATCCAGAGCGAACTGTCAATGCAGAAATCTATAGTCAGCAACTGGAACGTTTAAATCAAGCCCTTCATCAGAAACGCTCTTCATTCATCAATCGGAAAGGTGTTCTTCTTCTCCACAACAATGTACGTCCACATGTGGCACGTTTGACGCAACACAAGATTATGGAGTTGGGATGGGAAGTTCTCCCCCACCCACCATATTTTCCAGATGTGGTACCATCAGATTACCATCTTTTTCGTTCGCTCCAACACCATCTTAATGGGAAAACGTATGCAAATGTGGAAGATGTTAAAGAGGACATCGACATGTATTTTGCTTCAAAGTCAAGTGATGTATTTAATCAGGGCGTTAACAACCTGATTGTAAGATGGAAAAGCATCATCGATAAGAATGGAGACTATTTCATTTGATAAATGTTTTGCTTTGATATATAAATTGTTCGGGTTTTTTTCATCTAAAAAAGCGACATTAATTTCTTGACGACCTAATAGATTCAGTAAAATTTGAAACAATATCTTAGTAGTTATCAATGGTATGAACGTTTGATGTCGCTAGGAGCTGGCTGTTAGACGTAAGAAACTCTTCTACTTGTCTCACCATATTTGCACAGTAGCTTGGTGCAAATATGGTGAGACAAGCTACACAGTAGGAAACTAGGGGGAATCAACATCATCACTGCCAACTTTATGTCTCTCTTATCTGATCAAATAGTCAAATTCTACTTGTAGCGTACCCATGCCCTCAAAGTTTTTGCGGCAACAGGAACCTAGTCATGAACCTTCAGATTCAAATTCGAGCAAGCTGGCCACTAGCCAGGCCCAGCCATGACGAAAATAAAATAGAAATTATAATTGTGCAATTTTATACTAAATCTTATGAAACTGTTGGTCGTCTTAGGTTTGTGATCAAGAAGTCCACACATTTTAGAAATGAAAAATATGAAGCTAAAAGTAACATAGATCAATTATACCATCTGTAACCATCTGGTTTTGCTTTCTTTTTTGCGCAAATCTACACGATTGCGTTTTGTTC